GCACAGAAATTCAAGAGAGAAGCCAAGAAACGATGTCGTTTTGGTCATTGAAATCCACATTATTGTTATCCCACAAGCATGGTGATAGCACGGACCCATTTTCATCCCAATGTTCGTCGCCTAGCACAACGCTTCCCCAGTCCCAATCATCCAAACATGGTGTTGTTGAAGAACAGCACCGATCTCCATTCAAGTTTGAGCTCAAGTTGGTACTATCTCCTTCCTCAGGGCGACTTGATGCCCATGCCCCATTTGGTTCAAGCAATTCATTGACCATAATATCATTAAAACACATCAGCTCAATTTCATATGGCTCCAAAATTTCAGTCTCTTTCTCCTCATCAATTCTAGGACATAACATTGAATTCTCTAGTTCTTCGATGTCTGGAAAAGTTACTGGGCCCCCTACCATTTGATGTTCATTAACATCTATGGCAGACAATATCTCCTCCTCTAGTTCCGGTGTAGATGGCAAAAGTATTGAACCAGCTTTATTTTCTACCGTTGGGATGGATAACACCTCCTTCTCCACCTCTGGTGTGGATGGCAACAGAAAAGCTTCATTAACAGCAACATTTGCTTGACGTTTCTTCATTAAAATGGCAGCGCTTTTCTGAGTAATGAAGTTTCTGTTTTTCTTCATTGCCCATCTGCTAGTTCGACCACCTCTCCTCTTGGTAACACCGGCCTTGGCTATCTCCACCATGGCCGGTACCGGTATTTTACTGGCGCCAGCTGCTGGTCTCCGGAAGCTGTAGATTTTCCTACTTAAATGGGAATTCCAGTAGTTCTTTATCTCATTGTCTGTTCTCCCTGGTAAATGGCTTGCTATCAAAGACCACCTACGTTACAATAATGCATTGATTAATTTACTAATAAAAAAAAAAGAAAGAGAGGAGATGCAGTAATTTTTCTTTAAAAAAAATTTATTTTAAAATTTAACCTTTGTCTTGCATTAATATCTGAAATTTTAAAATAAATAACTAAGAATTAAGGGATATGTTATTGAAAAGGAAAATGATGTGTGCACACCCAGATTCAACACCCGGGTGTGCACATCCCCCATAAAAAAAAAAAAAA